CAGAAAGAGGACATGTGGGGGAACTCTCAGTTCTAAGGGCAGTGACTTTGTCTCTTCTCCCCACTCCAGAAACCTCGGGAGAACAGTTCCTGCCATTTTCAAGGCAGCCTCGGTTTCCTTCTGGATCAGTTAAAATCACCCTTTTCTCTTCACTAGCCACACAGGATGCATTCCCAGGACACCAACAGAAGACAAATGCAACATGGGACAGATCACTCATGACCCCTAGCTAAAAAGATAGTTCTTCTCACCTTTAAGTTTTAAAACATTTCCCTTCATAAATGGCCCTGTGAGGTGAAACAGAGCAGGTACTGTTATCCTGGTTTTGAAGGCAGAGAAGGCAGTGAAGTGATTTCTTCAAGGTGTTTCAGAGAGTACACAGCACAATATTAATCCACACTCTGGGATCCATAGCCCACTCCCCCCAGCACAGTCTCACAGGGGGAGAATGAGAGCTTTGGAGGCATTCATCAGGTTGCTCTAGGGACAAGTCAGGAGCCCACAGGCCATAGGCTCTGGGGAGTCCTCAATCTTGTCCCTGCTAGGACTCACCTCACCACCTTCACCTGAGCCCATCAAGTCAGCTTCCTGGGGGCACCGTGGAGTTCCACCCAGATGTGGTGCTGCTCAGGCTTTGACCTGTTTTCTCCCTTCAGTGATTCTGACATCCAAATCCTCAGTGGCCAAGTTCCCAGTGACCATCCGCCATCCGGTCATACCCAAGTTGTATGACCCTGGACCAGGTAAGGCCCTTGACCTTGGAGCTCCATTGTGGTATTGTAGAGTTACTGGTTTAAATTTGGAGGGGATACCTCTGAAATTTGGAGGGGATACCTCTGAGATGGAGGAAAACTGATCACACCCACAGGGCTGGTAGGATTCTTGAGCACAAGTTTTGTTCCAGGGAAAAAAAATTTAGAACACATTCCCCTAGTATTGCTTCACTGTATTTACTTACTATGTGGTTCCTGCTTATTTTGAAAAAAAAAATTATAACTTTAAAATTTTTTTTTGTACTGGGAATTGAACTCTAGGTCAATTAACTACTAAACTATATTCCCTCTCATTAAAAAAAATTTTTTTTTAGCTGTAGATGGACACAATACTTTTATTTATTTATTTATTGCAAGTAAAATTTTTTAAAATTAATTCATTTATTTTACAGTAGATTGCAGTTTGACACATAGTACACAAATGGAGTACAACTTCTCATTCCTTTGGCTATACATGGCTTATTTATTTATTTATTTATTTATTTATTTTTACTTAGACATGGGCATGATCTATATTTTGTTTGTTTATTTATTTGTTTATTTATTGTGGTGCTCTGGATCGAACACAATTCCTCACGTACTCAAGGTAAGTGCTCTGCCACTGAGCCACAATGTCAGCCCTGTTTATTTATTTTTATGTGATGCTGAGGATCAAAGCCAGTGTCTCACACATGCTTGTCAAGCACTCTACTGAACTGTACCCCAGCCCTCTCCACCATGTTTTTAAAAATTTTTTATATTTTGAGACATTGTCTCACTAAGTTGCATAGAGCCTTGCTAAGTTGCTGAGGCTGTCCTTGAAGTTGTCATCCTCCTGTCTCAGCCTCCTGAGTCATGGCGATTTTAGGTGTGAGTGACTGGTGATTTATAACATTTTAATAAGTAATAGTAATAAAAACAGTGGTACTGGAGAGTGAACAGATACATCTTTGGAATAAAATTGGAAATCCAGAAATAGACCCAATACATGTTGGAATTTCACAGTGTGATAAAGGTACCTTTTCAAATTAAATGGGGCAAATTAACAATTTA